CATAAGCAAAGATGAGGAAAACTAGTAGTTGTATTTCAACAATGTCTGGAAAGTTGCATAATTTCTAACCATATATTGAGGTGTTATGTGTACATATATGCATAACTATGTGGCTATGAAAGGAATTCAGAGAAACAGTCATTCCTTTTTGTATTTGTCTCTGCTATACACTGATAAATGTTTTTCATTACTAGAAGGTTCTATATTGTAATTTTTCTCTCAGTAAGTGAATTGTGGAGGAGGAGTGGTGCTCAACTCACAGAAAAATACAGTCAAGAATCACAGTATAATATTTTAAAATGCTACTTTTTAATTCAATTAGCTTGACAGTGAAAACAGAAGGGATGATGCTCATAAAATTGCAGACCAAACTCATTTTATGTGCTGTTTTATGAGACATAGCTTTCACCTGTAATGGTCATGATATTTTTCAGTGGAAAAGAAACAAATTGTCTTTCTTTGTTACTCAATACTCTCATTCTCTGTGCTGACTCAGGACTTGTCCACACTATTGGGGTTAGGTAAAATCCAGCAACCCAGCAGGAGGATTGCCAGAAATGGACCAGGTGGGAGAAAGCCAAAGGCTCAGCTAAAGAGAGAAAAGGTGGAAAAGCTTCCCAAAGTATCTCCTCCAGAGAGAGGTCCCTGCTGGGAAATCGCTTTCCCAGAAGCACTTTGCATGGTGCGGGCATGGAAGGAGCCTCTGTGCTCCCTCCAGGGCATGATGGGCATTGAGGTTTCTCTCTCTGTGTGTGTTTCTCATGTTTCTTTCTCAGTCAATCAGAGGCCTGGTTGACTATGTCTATTCTCCTCTCCTCTTATAACACATGCTTCAATTCCCAGAGCCCCCTCTTGTGATTTTTTTAAAAAAAGAATGTTATGCTAAATCTTTAAAAAATTTCCCCACAATTAGTGGATTGGTAAAACTTAGCAGGCTTACAGTGGCCTACAAGTTTCATTCCAAATTCGGCCTCTAAAGTTTCCCCAATGAATCAAATCTTGCCAGAACAAAAACAGCAAAACAGCACCCCCTCCTGATTTTGGGAATTTCCCAGTAAATGGGACGGGGGGGGGGCACACACTGAAAACAGAACTGAAAACGGTAAAGTTGTTGCCTGAATTCCACACCTGTAATAGCCATTTCACTTCTGATCTGATTCCTAATAATGCCAAATGAGCTTTTTCCTCCCCTCTGTTTTTTTTACAGCAGTTGCATATTTTACCAATATTTTAATCTACTCCAATATCTCCTTCTTGCCAGCACAGATCCCATCAGTAAATATGTGAAGATGGGACTTTTAGCCACAATAGATAACACTTTATATTCATTTCCATTTTTCAGAGAAGCTTGCATATTAGATTTCACTGTGCAAATATATTCCTGGTCAAAATTGAAATTCGACATCGTGATTCAAGGAGATGGTGAATTCATATTTCAAAAGGTAACGTAACTCCATCCAACATCAACTGAATTTCTATTCCCTGACCTGCTTTATTATTTAGTAGAATCACCTTTACAGTTTCTGAATTATGACTTTAGCTTTAGGAACCATCTAGTCCACGGTTCCTCAAACTAAGGCCCGAGGGTCGAATATGGCCCTTGCTCAGAGTCAACCTAAGTCTGAAATTACTTGAAAGCACACAACAACAAAAACAATAACTATCCTATCTCTTCAGCCAAAAACAGGCCCACACTTCTAATTGAAATAGTAATAAGTTGTTCTTCATTTTAATTGTTGTATTGTTTAAAAGTGTTTTTTGCACTACAAATAAGATGTGTGCAGTGTGCATAGGGATTCATTCATTTTTTTTTTCAAATTATAATCTGGCTCTTCAACAGTTTGAGGGACCGTAACCTGGCCCTCTGCTTAAAAAGTTTGAGGATCCCTGATCTAGTGCATCATCAATAACATACTGAATTAGAGTATCAGCAGTTCTGTCAATTTAGATTGAAATGATAGGTAGAGAGTTGGACATAATAAATACACTGTCATTAAATTCAAAAGCTCTGTGTTACATCTTCTGGCAGTTTAATGTACAAGCAGTTCCTGAGTTACAAACATTCGACTTACAAATGACCCATAGTTAAGCATGGGGGTGAGACAAAAGGAAGAGAGAAAAATCTACTCCTAGAAAGGGGAATGTACTTCTGGAAAAAGCTATCATGGGGAAAAGGCATTTCCACTGAAGCTTTATCATCAATCCTTGTTTTCACAAAAAGGCATTTTTTTCAAAATCCAATTATCACAGGGACAGAAAGTGAGGTGAAATCTTCTGAACAGGGGCAGAGACAGCAAAAGAAACACCACAGGGGTGATAATCTTTCCCTATAATATCCAAAGCTTTAAAAAAACCAACATTTTTGGCTGGAGTTACACTTAAAAATGTACCTGGTCTGACTTGCATACAAATTCAACTCTGCAGAACCTATCTTGTTCATGGCAACAACAACTATGATGACTTCTTATTGGATTATATTAGACATAATTTATTTAGTTTAATTTAAAATGTCTGGCTCTATATTACTATTTCACACTTCCATTTTAATCTCTACATTTATGAGAAAATGTACCAAAAGAGATACAGAAAAAGACAGAACTAAAATGTCACCTTCTTAGCCAAGCTTCCTTTTAAATGTCAAACAATTTCTTTTGTGATCTATGATAAAGAAATAATCCAAGCTTCTCTACGAGTTTATATTTCTTACTCTGCCCTTGACTAATGATTCCCCAGAAATCAGAATCACTCACTTTTGTACTAGCATCAAACAGTGATGACCTTATTCCTCACATACCCATAATTGTTTATGGCAAGAGTTCAGCATAACTGATTTCTGCCTGTAAAAAAGTTCCCTACTTTCTTTAAAAATGTGTATTTTAAAATCCAAAAGATAATAAATATAACTATTAGTCAAACAGTAAGAATCATTCCTTTTTTGCATGTTAAGTGCATTCCTCTAGCAAAAAAAGAAAGAAAAAATAAGTTTATTCTGAATGCCAGTGTAGTGAGCATAGAGCAGATGATGGGTTTTGTCTCTACCCTCAACAAGATTATTGGTTTTGTGTGCACAAATTTGATGCATATACAGTGATAGAATCTGTATGTACAGGGCCCATTCAAGTCATGGAAATTGGGAAGTGGTTAGCAGATGTAAATCAGCACAAAGTTGATTATGTAGAAAGGAATAGTTTCTGGAAAAATACTTTCATAACAATGATTGCAAAATTCATAGAAAACTAAGATGGATAAAATTGGGACTGAAAATATTACCATCTTCTAAAAATAGACTCCCCCCCCCCAAATATAATCTATTGTATATTGTTACTGGTTGAAGTCCTAAACAAATATATATTTTACATTCTATTTCATTGCATAGCTCACTATATTACAAACAAATGTTAAACAAGTCTTGATTTATCAAGGCTGATTCAATATATAGTTGTCATCTTCGATTCATTCAGGAAAAAAAAACCTGAACACCATTTTTCTTTATGTTGTAAAATCACCCTACTAATCCAGAACAATATATAGATTGAACATCCTTTATCTGGAATCCTGAGTCCTAAAATATTCCAAAATATTGAATTTTGAATACGATTTCCCTGCTTCTTGGCAGGGCGGTTGGACTGGATGGCCCACAAGGTCTCTTCCAACTCTATGATTCTAGGATTCTAATGTTTAGACCTTAGCTCTAACTCCAAGATTTATCATTATTTACATATAGACAAAAATTAGTATTCCAAAATATGAAAACATTTGAAATCCAGAACACTTCTAGTCTCAATAATTTTGGATAAGGAATACTCAATTTGAACATCCAATTATTATTAATTCCTATTTATCTACTTCTGCTACAAAGCTCTAAAGCTGGAACAGGTTCTTCAAAAAGCTTTATTTATTTATCTATTGTATCTAAACCCCATCTTCCTCGCAGAATGGAAGTAATTTGTCCTATGCAAGTTTATATATGTGTGTTCTTTGTTGATATTAATCTATAGGGGAAAATGAGGTATGAATCCAGGAGAATTTCAAAGCTTTGTGTATTTAAGGGACCAGTGGTTAGCTCTTCTAAAATGTTTTGGAAGACTGGAAAGACTATCCACTACTGGCTTTGCCAGATGCAATGGTGTGACTTATCACATAGCTTCAAAACCATTTTATTGCCAGGAAACAGATGCTCAATCCAAAAGACAAACATATTTCTGATTAGATACATGACAGCTTTAAGCACATTTGAAAAGTCACTGTATTGTTGTGGCTTATGGCAGTGTACAATTCTCAGTGGTCCACCTGTAATGAATTCAAATGCTGCAATTTGCTATAATCCTATTCAAACAATTAGATTGATATGCATGCATCCGATGTTTGTCTAGTTTCATACAGGCAGTGAAGCATTCTATTACACATATGGAATAGTCTCTTTACAAAAGCAGCTGTTCTTCATCAAGCTTTTGATGATATTCATGAAATCAGCAGCACCATGTATTATTAAAAAGAAAGCCTTTAAAAATAAGTACTAGTTTTCTATACCCTGTGTGATGTTTGTAACTTTTTCTTTGAGTATTCAACACATGCTGTCTCACAAATTGTTATTGAAAGTCAGTTCAATTGGAAAAAAATGGTTCAAGTAGTGCTTGAAAAGCACAACCTTTGGCATGCAAGGCTATTAGCACAGTTCTTTGAGCCTTGATGTATGTGCTGTTAACATTAGTCTTTAATGTACTATAACTCTCATACTTTATCTAGAGAAACCATCAATATAATGTGCTCTATTCATCAGTGTTATATCCATAAATTCCATGAAATCCAGTAAGTTATCGATACAGAGGCTATATGTGCGGTATACAAGTCAAAACATATCATGCACAGCTTCTTCTCAAATGCAGAAATCAACACAGGATAAAAAAATATGAGCTCTCAAATTCATTTTTTTCCTAATCTATGCTCTGTAGTATACTCATAAATAAAGAGATGGTAGAAAAAAGCAATTACTTCCTTACCTAAGCACCTTGTTTCAGTTCCACTCCAAAGTCCAGAAGACAGGCATTCCCTTACAGCTGATCCCACCAGCATGAATCCTAAGTCACAAGTAAAGATAGCAGTCGAGCCATATGTGATCTGAGTTCCAATTTTATTCCCATTTGGTGGAATTGGAAGTTCTCCACAGGAAATAACTTGAAAAGTCAAAGCAAGAAGAAATACATTGAACACTCCATCCTTATTAAAACAGTCAGTAATCATGGCAGTGAAAACAGTAGCTAATCTAAGGGTGGAATGGAGTAACATCTCCTTGGTAAATTAATAATCCTCCAAATATCACATTATAATACTGTGATTTGAAAGAAAAAAATGTTCAAATTGTGCAAAAGAATGAATGGAAGTGTGGAATGGCATTTCCTCCCCTGTATTTATGACAAACTTCTCCTTGTATGTTGATGTGCATTAAGTTGCCTTTGAAAATTATTCAGAGTTTGGAAATGGTAAATGATAACCTTGTGTGTATGTTTGTATGTGTCGGGTAGTTTCACCATGGGTTGTTATAGCTTGCAAACTCAAAAACCTCAGAGCTGAATGATTTCCAACTTAGAGATATTTTGTAGAAACTACTATAAAGCAACAAATTTGAATAATGCTGTACTCAAAATTTGAGAGTTAAAAATTTGAGATCTCTGGATAACATAAAATACTGTCTTTAAGATCATTGTTGTTCTGTGGTTTCAAGTTATTTAAATTTATGATAACACCACCATAGTTTTGTTTCTTGCCAGGATTTATTCAGATGAGGTTTGTCTGCTTTCCTCTAAGGTTGAGAGCATGATATGATTGAAATCAACCAGTCAATTCCCATTATTGTACAGGTTATCACTGTATGAGTTGGAGACAAGGGAGTGAAACATTTCTTGGTTTTCTAAACTGTCACTGGCATAGTTAAAAGTAGACATAAGGGACTACATAATAACAACGAGACTGTAGACCTAGGGTATATAGAATACTTACTTTGGCAATATGGCCTCTCATTTCTCCAACTCCAAGTACCATTGGCAAGACATTCAATAGATTCTGGTCCCAACCCATGGTATCCAGGGTCACAATTGAAAACAACTTTTGTTTTGTATTCATAATGAGATCCATTCACTATCCTCCATCTTCCATGTTCCAAGGAGAATGAATTGATACTTGGGCATGTAACAACTTGAGAGAGCATGGGGAAAAGAAGAGGAAACGAAGTGCTGAAGTAAGAATGTTTCATTAAAGTGAGGTCAAATATTAGGGCAAAACAATTGCTCAAACATTGTAATTAATATAGCTTAATTCAAATTCAGGAATAAAATTTGATATTTCACTTCTTCCTTGGAGATTTAGAGAGTAATCCAAAATCATTTTACTGCTTAAAATGATTACTCAATAGATTGCTTATCATATTTTAAAACTGCTCTGCTCATCTGGTCGGTCAATAAAGAGCGGGGATATCACTTTTATAAAAGTATTTTTTATTTCTACTTCTTAATATCAACATCATAACCTTTAAAAATTGAGGATTCCCATTTCAACTTTTCCAGCTAGAAAAAAGCTTATTCTAGCAGAATAGAGTTATTATAGACTACATATAATTAACAAGTTCTTCAGAATATGATCCTATTATTAAAGAGTTCTCTTCCTTAATGGTGTTTATTAACTGCACAAAAGAAATACAGACTACTGTGAAACAACTTGATGTCGACACCTTGCAATTGCAGTCATTTTTTTTATAATGGTTCTATTGTATTAAGTGTTGTCCCATATTTAACAAAACAGCAAAGCTTTAGAGAACAGAGAGGCAGATTTAATTAAAGAATGATCCACTTACATCTATTAAAAAGAGGTTCATGTTTCAGTTTCTCAGCACAACATATGCTTTGTTTCTCAGCACAACATATGCTTTGTAAATTAAAGACTTCATCCTCAACATGAGTTACCTACTAAAATGGTTCCTATTCTGTTGTCCCACACTTAGAGCGTATCTTCACTTCAGCTGTTCTCTCATGAACCAGTTCTGAAACATATGGTTGAAATTACCCCCCAAAGTCCTTTCAGACTAACAGAGTGCTCAAATCCGGTCATTGACTAATTTTCATACTAATTTTTGTCCTATAATTTTCAAGTAGCTGCTTTGTTTAATATAATAGTTTGTTCCATACACTACGGCACATGGTAGTGTGATTCTCTGAACTGAGAATATAGTGTCATATTTACCTGGAGCTAAGTCTCTATGGAGCTTTCATTTAAGATCAAAGACTTCACTTTTTTCGTAATTAGTCGCTCTCCACCAAGGTGCTCTGAGCGACTTGCAATTTAAAATAGCATTTACACAATATAAAAACATTCAACATAAAAACATTCAACAGTGACTATTTGGCAAATTAGATCTGATCACTTTACTTAAATGCACAACCAAACAGCCAAGTCTTGAGCACCTTTACAAAAGGTCACAACTCCAACATTGCTCTAATATATGGAGGCAATGGGTTCCACAGAATTGGAGCATAGGTCAAAAAAGTTCTACACCTTGTAGCTAAGGCGTAGACTAAGGTGATTATTCTCAAAAGGAAAAAATACACAGAATTAATAGAAAATGTTACTTACACAGGAGTATTGCATTGGTCAGCTAATCATACTTACATCCCAACATATAATTCTATGACCTTTAATAATTTTCCTTTACATACATTGTTTACAAGCATTTACAAAGATTTCAACATGTGGTATTCAACCATTCTAATCCTGTCTCAACATTTAATAGTTATAGATCCAAATATAAATCCAAATTAAAACATAACTTTGGAAGGTAAGATACACTTGTAATAAGAAAAAGTAATTCTAGATTCCCTTACCTACACAACGGGGTGTTTTGTTATGGTTGCTCCAGGTGCCATCTGGTTGACAGGCTGCAGTTGTAAGTTCTTTAGATGACAACCTGTACCCATCATTGCAAAAATATGTAACCCGGGTTCCGACTAGATAATCTGTTGTTAATATTCCACCATATACTGGAGCTTTGGGAATCCCACAAGAGATAGCTGACAATATAAAACAGAGATATAACAAAACAACGTAACATTTGAACTCTATAATTATATGATTGTTTTCCTTTAGTTTGATTCTTCTAATATTTAGGCCCAGAGATGGGAATGGAGGTAGAAAAAAAATGAAACAACTTCAACTTTCCCCAGCACTTGGCTGTCCTAAGAAGATATTGTCCACATTATACACATGTACAGCCAAAAATGTAAGATATATTTGGTTGGCTGAAAAATGTTATCACCACAATGTGTACTTGGATTTTGTTTTAGGTTTAATATGGTGTGCCAGTTTTCCTTTATCCAAGTAGTCTGAAAGAAGAATGAATTGTGAAGAACGTAATGACTTTTCTATATAAACGACATAGATTTGGGTATAGATTCTGATTACTAAGATCAAATAATTATGTCTGTTGTCTCACAGTTCCAAATGTTTGTGGTCTGACTCTTGTGGAGATCTCAAATTCAATTGCTTTGGCCTAGTAGTTAGACAGATATATTTTATGAAGCAAAATCTACCTCTCAATTCACTATAGCATGATATACCTTTTATTATTTCTGCCCAAGTTAGGTTGGATACTAGGATTTGGATAACAACTTTCTACCCTGTCTATTAGAAACATGCACTTCAACATTTCACTTATGAAAACCAGGTCTAAGTGGGTGTTGCTGCCACCTCCAAAGGCAAAGAGAGAATCACCAAAGAGCCATCAGCTTCCTAAATAGGTTGTCATATAAGGCTCTGCAGGAGAAAATATGCTATGCACAAATAATTGCCCCAATTAGTTAATTTCCAAGAGAAGTCTAAGCAAGAACCACCACAGAGATTAAGATGTTCTGGGGATGCCCTGCTCTCGCTCCCTCCATCGTCATAGGCACGACTGGCAGAGATGAGAGAGAGGGCATTCTCAATTATTGCCCTTTGCTATGGAACTCCCTCCCTTGCAAGATTAGATTCTGTTCTTCAGAAAGATGGTAAAAACTTGGCTGTTGGACCAAGCCTTTGGGACAGTGCAATAAGCCAACAATAGGAAATTTTACCCTGCTGACTGGATCGAGTATGGCTGATCTGAGATGGTTTAAAACAATTGATTTTAAAGTGGAGAAAATAGATTTCAGTGTTTATGTATATTTATAGTTTATTTTATATTCTGGCATGGAATGTTTGCCATATATGTTGTGATCCACCCTGAGTCCCCTTCAGGGTGGAAGGGCAGAATATAAATGTTTTAAATAAATAAATAAAGGAGAAAGTAGCAAGGCAGTTAGTGCTGGAGGCACAGTGAGATAGAATTTTTTTTGAATATATTTTAAAAATGATTGAAAATGTGGTTTTCCTGTATATTGAGATAACCTGATGAAAGGAATCTAGGCCCAAAAAAAATCTTAAGAATTTGGGACGTGTTCTGTGTAAAATTCATGAATGTTGTTTTTTTTTAACAAAGAAAACAGTGTTTTCTGCAGAAGAAACATATTTTCTTGCAAAAAAAAACATATTTCTAGACAGAAATAAGATGATAGGCAAAAAAATAATGTTGTGAATTCTACATAGAATTTGCACATGGATGAGTTGCACCAAAACCAGCATTTTCTGCACAAGAAATTGCTTTTAATGAAATACAAATAGTATTCCTACACAAAAAGCTGGGTTTTGTGCAAAATAACTATATACCATTTTTGTGCAAAATAAGTAAAGGATTGAAAATGAACACTAAATATTATATGCTTTTATTTTTTCCCCCAAATTGGAGGAATACAAATTAAAAGCTAGAAAGGTCCATAAAGCAAGAAAGGACACTTTGAAACCAAAAGAGAAAATGGGATTACAAAGAGCAAATTGTGGCTGATTGATGGTACTGGAAGCAAATGCAAATATTGTCATAGCCATCTTTTTTTTCAAAATTGCTCCTGGATCACAGCTACCTTGTCTTTTACATGTTGATTGCTGTTAGCCACCTCTGCCCTACCTATCTACTGCTCTTTTATCAAGACCTTTTTAGCATTTCATTTGTGTTCCAACTGAGCAAATTGTTTATAAGCTTTCCAGCAGATAATATGTCATTATTTCTTTGTTCTCCACAGGCCATGAAATACACTTAGTACTAAATAAATGTTCAATCATGATGCAGGGCATTGCAGTAGTTATCCTTATTGCTTTAGTAAAATAAGAACAGTAGCAGCTATGAAACCTGGACCATGACAAGCTATATAGAAAGTTCTCTGATTTTCCCTTTTACATGTTGTTAGCTTTAGCTTGTTTTAATAAAGCCATTGTACCCTTTCATCTATCTCATAACCATGCCACATTCTACTTCCTCCTCTGGTTACTGTAGCAAAGGAGTACTTGCAAAAATTGTTTCATGCTATATTTTCTTATAATGGTTTTCAGTATTCTGATGTCAAAAGTGCTATTCATTTCGGGGAAATGAGGGTGAGGGAGGAAATGGTCTGCTGTAGCAGGCTACCCAGAACAGTGTAAATTGAACACTGTGGGCAGTATATACTATATATCCTCCACTATATTTTTGTTTTTGATTTTTCTACATTCTAATCAATGTGAATACAGTGATTTTCAATGCTGAAAAGGGGAAAAAAGAAATTTGGGGTTGGCTATACAAATGCTTTCTTGCTTCCCAGTGATAGCTGAAAACACTTGGCTAAACATTAATCTCTTTGCCATTATACTGTTTGAGTGCAAGGATATAGATTGATGAAACACAAGACAGGATCATGGTAGCCATGCATTTAACATAAGGTAACACATCTAACAATTATTTCTAACTAAAGTCATTCCATCGTTTATGATGACGTGTTGTAACATTGACACCTGACACACAATAATACCGATTTTCTAGTCTGCTTTTAACTTGGTGGATTACAATTTGTGGAAGTATGGTTTAAAACAACATATTACAATAACTGAAATTGCCTACTAAGAACGTTTTCAAATAAACCAAGATGGGGAAAACTTTTCTATGGCTTTTAAATATTTATAGAAATTAAGGCACCACCATACCAAGGCATTTGACATTAATTTTGTTTCAAAATACATAAAGGGATTCCTGATCTCGGCAGCCTTGTATTTCACAGCAAAGCATTATTCCCGATGACTACTTATGAGAAATTAGCATTGATGAATTCAACATTGCATCACCCAAAAGGTCAGGAGAAAATGGGCTTGCATTTAAGTAGGAAAAACACTTAGGTGGCATTTCTGTAATAGAGATTTCCACTCAGATATGTCTGATATGTTAGAATCAATGTTGGTGTCTCATGCATCTCAATAGCAAATGTTTTGGTTTTAAGAAATATATACACAAAAACATGGCTGTTGTTAGCAAACACCAATCAAAGCACTTTTCAGTCCCCAAGAGAGCTTCAATTAAACTGCAGATATATATTCTGTAACTCTGAGATTTGTGTTGCTGCATTAGAAATTTTTAAGGTTATTTTTAAAGACATGGTTTATTATTAGTTTTAATGACACAAATAATTAGTAATAATTCTCATTCTTTCTGTATGACAAATATATGGCAATCACATGAAAATATTTTTCTTTACTTTGAAATATAGTGAATCTCAGCTATTTTTAAAGATAATGTTTAGGGCAAATCAGGTACAAAAGTGAATATGCAAATTCTAGTAATTTCACCAATAAAGGATGTGACATCACATTAGAAACACAAAGCCCTAAGTATTAGGTGACACAGGAGTAAAGGAACACCCCCTCGAATAAACGGATTTCCCTAAAATAACAGTAAAATATATATTCTACTCCTAGAGTTCCTTTTTATGGAAGTTATTACTAAAACTCTTCTACTTGGAGAAAAAAATTGGGGCTATAGTAATAAAATGGGGAAAAAAGCTTCTTGGCAAAGGGGACTGTACCTTCATGAAGTAGCTATTGTGATAATTTTCAAAGAAGGTAACAAAAATGTGAGGCACCAAGACTGAGAACGGCCTATTCACCTATTCAAAAAGGGTGAATTGGGGCTTCAATAAATAAGGCTTTGCAAGTAACTAGACCTGATAATGTTTAGACCTCTGAACCTGCAAACTTACTGAACCCAATAGGACTTACATCTAACCAGCCCTGTATAGGCTTGTACTGAAATAAATAATATCCAACACTTTGGATTTGGAACAGCCATCCAATCTGACTTTTCAAGAACTAGAGTTTGCACCTGTTACCACCAAATACTAATGAAACTACTGCCTTTTGTGTTTAGTGAAGTGAGCAACAACACTATTGGACTAAAAACCATGGAGATAAGGACCACAGGCAGAGTATATACATCCAGATTTGTAAAGAAGAATATACCTTGACATGCTGGGACAGGTACATCCCATGCATAATATCCATGGAGAGACTTCCTGCACACAGCAGTGCTTTTTCCAATGAGCCGAAATCCTCGGTCACAAGCCCACCGAACCACACTGTTGAGCTGCCCACCTGTCTGACTAACTATGAATCCATGAGGCGGTGACTCTGGAGTACTGCAATAAAGAGCTTTAGAAAACAAAGAAACAAACAAAAATTATTAGAATCCATCTTGTACATGATGTTATTTAACAGCAAATATTTGTCTGTAGATGTTGGTGATCGGACCTGTTTAGCAACAGTGGCAAATTAAAGAAGCTTGTAGGGAAAGCAACAAGAATTGCTTTTATTATTGCGCATGACCAATAAAAATGTTTGGCATAATTATTGAGCAAAGAAACAAGAACTGCTTATCCTAATGGAAAAGATAACCATGGTCTATTCTGTCAACCATTGGGATTTGCCAATATCTTTAGTCATCATTTAACAACTGATTCAATGTTTTACTCTAGTTGGGATTAACCCAACACATTCTTCCTATACCATTTTGCAGGGTGCTTGTATTGTGCATTGCAATTGGATTCACTTTTCAAGAAAAGGCCATCTTACTACTTGAGTTAGGAACTAGGCTTTCATTTATTTCTTCATCCACAGTGTGAACCTTACTTCTCTGCATCTGATAAAAATTTGCATGTGTTAATTACAAATGTAATCCACTTACACTGTGTCAACATCTAAGTTCAATTTTCTTTCTGAAGATTCTGCACATTGTAATTGATACTTGTTTTAACATGTATCCAGAATAATTAATATTAGTAAGAAGATCAAGAAAGATGACACGGGTCATTTCTGGATAAAGGAAATACAAATGCAGCCAGCATGAGGTAGAAGATAGGAAGAATTCCAAAAGATGTTGAAAGCATGCAAATCACTGAATGATATTATACAGTTTGAAAAAGATTGTCTTGCATGGTTTATATTTTCATTCTCACTTGACTGAGTTGTGCATGCATATATTCTTCTGCTTATAATACTGGCAGTTACCTTCCTGATGTCTCTTTTGAGAAGTGAATGGATTTTGTACTCTGTAAAAGAATCTCTGAGGAAAACCTAGATTGTTAATTTTACAGTGTAAATGTATTATTGGAATAGATCATAGAATAACAATGTGGCTGGAGTGTGAAGGTTGTGTGTACTTGCTTTCTCTTCAACAGCAAATAACACTTTCATCTTTATATACATATCTTTTTGGAGTTTAAGAAATGCCTGGTGACGGCTGTTCAGCAGTGAGGCTCCTGCTTTGGAGGCTTTTAAACAGAGGCTGGATGGCCATCTGCCAGGGGTACTTTGAATGCAATTTTCCTGCTTCTTGGCAGGGGGTTGTCCTGGATGGCCTAGGAGGTCTCTTCTAACTCAAGGATTCTATGATTCTAAGCTTCCCAACCTGCTTGATTTCATGGCCACCAAGACATAGCTATCATGAGAGAAATGACTATATGAAGCTGTACAGAAACCAGAAATTGTTTTCTATAGGCTTAAGTAAGCCTTACTGACTACTTAACCTAAACGTTTTCAAACATACTGAGGTTTTTTTAAAGGCTTTGGGGTAATACCAGCATAAATTTCATTCAAAGAATGAGGCCCCTATCTACACCAGCCCATGATGCAGTTTCAGAATACATTTTAACTGTCTTGAACTGCATTACAGGCAGTCCCCAAGTTATGAACTAGATAAGCTATGCACTGCATAATATGGTCTACACTGACCATATCATGCAGTTCAATCTGCATTAAATGGTAAGTGTAAATGGGACCTGAGTATATTTGGTAAAAAACATAATAATTTGAAAAGTTGCAGTCTTCAAAATAAAATAGGAACAAGAGTCACCTCTAAATATATTACTTTGGCCTTTGACATTGACAACTTGGTTGATTAGACACTCTTACCAACAGAATAAGAGCTTTGTTGTACATTAACACAGCACAGAACATTATTCCGGATACTCATTCTTGTCAACCTGCAACCTCTTTGTCCAGGTTGAAAATGTCTTACAGATATTAATCTACTGATTATACTGAAGGGTAGAAAGGGGAAATATTTGTGTTACATACCTATATATCTTATCCTGAAACCCCTCTTGTTTGTTCCATGGTCTGCTGACCATCGGAGAAATACTTCATGGCCCGTGCTTGTTATATTTAGAGTTGACGAGTAATCTCCACTTAGAGAGATTAACAAGGGACTGTGACTATTTGGTCCTTAACAGCAAGAATAGAAGAAAGAAATACAGAGAACATGAAAAACAATGATTAAAATTAGAGATATACCCAACGTGTCTCCAGGAAAAATAGTTAGCAAAAAATACAATATCTTATAGTGGCATGTTGCATACTACAAATAAGATTTAAAACATAAAGTGTGCACATCAATGACAGTATAATTAATGTATAAAATACAATATAGTTGTTGGGAAAATGTATATCAATATTAAAGTCACCCAGTTGAATATACAGTTGAATATACTGTAGTTACCATCAAACACCTCAAGTATGTCAAATTCCTTTTCTGTTTGGAAGAATTCAAAATAAAGGCTGATGTTGTAACCCTTTTCCACAGTAATGGTCCATGCACACATCTGAAGATTTGGATAACTATCTGGATAGCCAGGGCTCATAATCACTCCAGTAGAATCCAGACGTAATTCATTTGCCGGACATAGTACTGCAAAGCAAAGAAGCTTTGTTATAGAAATTCAGAAAACGGGAAACATGTGGGTAGCATTTTTATTTTTGAACATTCACTAGCTATATATTGATAATTTCTTTCATATGAGTGCAAAATATGAACCAATGGAATGTTTTAACAGGTACACCTCACCTTATTTTAGAGATATTAATATATGCCATATTATATTTAATTAAGTCCTCATTATTTATTTAAGTTAACAAAAAGATGCGTGTTAGGCTAATTCAAATCCCTAACTTCTTCAGGTATTCCCTGATGCTACTGTACCTCAATCGTTCAGTTTATCCATGCCACCATAATTTAAAAAGAAATGTTCTAACTATTAGATGTGATATATTTCATTATAATCCAGGAACTGTGATGAATATGCTCTATAACAGTTTGTAACTTGGTGGAAAACTGAACCTTAATAACATCCTGCCTAATCCCTAAATTCCATTTACAAGAAGGTCCAAAGTTAGTTTACAGCTTGATTGATTTCATTGATTTTTTTGTAAACAATATTTTATAATATAAATTGACCACAAGGAAGCAGTAGAAGCTTTGCTGAATAACCCTCTCCTTTTTGTGACTAGTTGCAGAAAGTTTCTGAGAACATAATTAGATGTAATTATGGTTTTTATCTGATGTAAGCAAGTCATCAACTTATGCATGGACAACATGTATGGAATGTTATGTATTAGTAGTATATATGCAGCCCTAAATGTTCAATGGGCAAAAAATTAAAAATAATAATAATAAAATTATCACAAATTAGGGGAAAAATATGAAGCTAACAAACTAGGCTAAAAATCAGGAAGCTCTTGATTCATACTTCATTTCTGCCATTGACCCAAATCTTTTAGATCCAAATCTCTGGTCATTAGATTGCAATACCAAATTACTTTACAGAAGTGTTGTAAAGGTTATAATTTATCAATATATGAAAAGTTTCATATCTAAAGTTTTATATGTGTGCTAATACATAGGCCTCTGTTGTCAGCAAAATTTCAAAACATATCACAACATGGAATTAATATTGATAAGTTTGTAGAAAACGAAAGAAAAGTACACAGAAAACCTTGACAAGCAGGAGGTACTCCATCCATCTGTAGCCTCTCTCCCAGTCTACATGTCAGAATCTCATTACCAACTAATGTAAAGCCTGGTAGACACTGGTACCTTATTATGTCTCCTATTTGATTTAAACAGAAAAGACAATAAGTCTGTAGTTAAACAACAATTAATTGAGAATTTTGACATTGACAGTTGCATTGATTAATGAAGTACTTTTCTCACCATGAGGAAATGACCAGTACACCACCAACTCTGATTAGAAAGAGGAAACGTTATGGAACATGAGCAGCCACATTTATCATTTTGTGCCAGCTATACTATTACCATGACTCATGTACTTTGGATGGCTGATACTTTGCAGAGCAAAGCAGTAGGCTGATAGAGTCTGAAAGCTCCGTATTTTGTTGCTGCCATGGCAGTAATTAATAAGAAAGCTATGAAGTTTCTTATACCTGATAGGTAGCCAGACAGGCAGGTAGGTAAGTAGACATATCAGCAAAATATCTATGCAGTTCAGATAATGTCTTACTGGAATTGAAGCTACTAGGCAATTTAAAAACAAGTTTCAAAATGCAGCCATATATGCAATACTCATGAAACTTTTTTTTTGTATTAATTTTTTTAACATGACATAGAACAAATTTTTGTAGCATTACATTCTCTTGTGCAATAGAAAGTTTTCCGTATGGGACTTTGTTTTGTCTCATCAAATTCAGAAAGAATGCATCTAGGCAGCCATATATGTAGCAGTAGCAGATGGATCTGTGTTCAGTTAATGAACATTCAAATATTTTACAGAAGGTGATCATCTGGCTGAACAAGCAAACTTTTTTTCCCTAAAAGAAAATGGTCTTGTCCATTCAGCCAGGTAATTAGCTTCAATAAAACCTTTTAAATCACTTCTGGCTGCATGCACATGTCTCCCTCATCTGCACATATAGTTGCTTAGTACTACAGCCAAACCCTCCTGACTAGATGATGAGGACCACAAAGTGCAGAAAGTTTGACAGTTATGGTCAACTGAAGTTCCACAAAGTACCTCAGAATTACTATAATGTGTCAGTATATTGGAAATAGGACTTCAATATATTTGGGTAGGCACCAGAAAGTGATACATGTCACATTATTTTGTTAGTTAAATCTGTTTTGAAAAGTTGGATTTATTTCTGCTAGTATGATACAAAAATAATGGGTTTGATCTAGTCTAACATGGTGACTGCAATGACTATACACAGAGAACCTGTAATGGTCTGAAACCATGCTCTATAAGAAACAACTTAAATAATTGATTTTGTTTAGTCTGGAGAATAAAACATTTAGAGGTGTCATGATAGCCATGTTTATACATTTAAGAGGATGCCACATTGAAGATGGAGCCATCTTGTTTTCTGCTATTCTAAGGACTAGGACATGAAGTAATGGATTCAAACTACAAGTAAAGAGATTCCATCTACTCATTAGAAAGAACTGTTCAACACTGCCTAGGAGTTTGGTGGAGTCTCTTTCTTTGGAAGTTTTCAAACAGAGTTTGGTTTGCCATCTGTTGGGAGTGCTTTGATTGCTACACAGGAGGGCTTTGGATGGGATGACCCTTGTGGTCTCTTCCCAGGTGGGGCTTTGGTACATATGTTCTTGTTTTTCTTTCCCTATTGCTCTCTTCTTCTCATCCCCCAATCTATGACATATGTGCATGCTCAGTCTAATGAAACTTGTTCTTCTCCCTCTTTTTTTGGCAGCATAGTAGATTAGTGCCCTGTTCCAATGCATTTTAAATGCCCATTTCTGTCCCTAGGACAAATGAAAATTTCCTCTCTCATGCTGCATTCACACTATACATATATTAATGCTGTTTGGCACCACTTGAACCGCTATGGTTGAATGATATGGAATCCTGGGAGCTGCAATTTCATGAGGTACTAGTACTCTTTGGCAGAGAAGACCTCTTGAAGATACTCCCATGAAAAAAGCCAACTCATTATCCTCTTCTATGATATTATCTTTTGAAGTGTCAGAGATAATACTAGAATGAATATGTAGAAAACATCATAATAATCAGGCCTAGTAGATAAGGAAGGCTCTCCAAAGACAGCAGAAAATTCATTAATGGGCCACAGTTTTCATGTATTTTGAGTGTCACCCCTTTCTCCAGGCACATGCTACAAAAAACAAACCCATACACCAATCACACTCTATTTTTCTAAATGTTTGATTATCTGGATAATTCTGAATTCTACAGGAACTTATTTAATTGGTGAAACCATTTCTAATTTTTCTCTTCATGCATATTGATATGAATTTAAAGCCTCAGAATGCTTGTGCCCATTCAGCAGTATTAGTTTTGGGAATAAATGTGTGTTATTTATGTTTAAACTGGTTTTACCTATTTCAAATTCATCATCCTCAGTCAGGATTTCAGCATTTGGTACAGCAGCTGGTGCCTGACACACTCGGAGTTGATATGCTGTGAAATGCAGTAGAAACATTATGATCAATAGGTTTGTAAGGTAACAACAAACACTTATGACTTTACTGTGAACAGATCAACTTCACACAAAACAAAACCCATCATTCATTTAGGGTTTGGAATGTTAAAGGAACATTTCAGAGTTACAGGGAGATTATTTCTCCAGAGCTTTTATTTCAGTGTTGTACTCATCTGTTTAAACAAAATACTTAATGGTGATATCACTATTATATATAGGCATTAGGGCTGTGAAAAGTTATTGTTAGTCCTTGTAAGTCAGATTAAATTCATTAAATTCATACTTACGATGTGATATCGTAATAATAATAATAATAATAATAATATTCAAGATGTGGGAGTGGCCTGCACCAAAACTTAGGAATTAAAACTTACCCAATATTTTTTCATTTGAATTTTGTAAACCTCAGAAACCTTCCAAAGTCAGTTTCATTTTCAGTGCAAGGACACAAAGCAAAGCCAAAAAGGCTGCCATTCCTCTTTAAATTAATTCTCCCTTGCCATTAGAAGAGGGAAGCAGCAGGGAGAAAGCAGAGTTCACTGAGAAAGAGACTGAGAAAGCACAGAATTCTGGGAAATGTAGTTTGAGAAGGCAAGGAGCCCTATGGCAGAGAATTCAAAAGGTCCTGTCCTAAACTTAATTTCCTAGAATTCTGTTCAGCATCAGAAAGCCCCAATTAGGATAGGGGAGAGATTTGTCCCTCTGTGGCAGCAGCCAGCCAGAGTTCCTATAAATTGTTGAAACTGCAAAGAGGAGGACTGACTTATACCTCTATTAGATACATATTTGAGCTGGGCTGGGAAGAAATCCCTAAATTGAAGTTCTATTGTTTAATATGAGAGACAATCAATGAGATAGCTGTTTTGGTTTTTAAAAAATCACGTTTTTGTCAAAACTTTTTAAAAAATCCCTAAAATCACTATATGTATGGATATTTCTGAAAGTTGGAGGGAATGATCCCTGTTATTTTGTACCATTGTATAGAAAATTCAAGGAGATAGCTCTTGTATTTTCTTTTTAAAATGTTGTTTATAAAAACTTTGAAAATTCCCCAAAACTCTGTGGATGCGTGAAACATTCTGAAATTTGATGGGCTAAGAGTGTAAAATGTGTTTTTCCATTGTAGCAAGTTTCACCCCAATAGTTGTAAAACCGAGGGAGAAAAGAGCCCATGAAGTTTCATCACTTGCACAATTGCTATAACAAAAAAAGTAATGAAATTTAGTTACTCCCATTATAGTAACAAAATTTTCAGTAATGATACTTTAGAAACAGTTTAGAAATAAAACACCGGCACTACCTAATTTTGTAATGAGTTTTGAAACTTTTTTTTCATTGATCGCACAGCCCTAATAAGCATACCTATATGTTAGGTCCCAAACCACTTGCATAGAGCCAATATCAATTTAAAGCAAACCACAGTCCTTTTTTCCACTTTTCAAGTGCATATAAAAGGCTAAAACACATTTACATTATTGTGTGTTCAGTATACAACAGTGTTTGGCCTATAAAAATAAGGTAAAAATAATAAGTACATAAACTTCCACAATATGATCCCAAGGCATGAAATACAGAAATACTGCAAATAAACTGAGTGCATGTACAATACTTTTGCAGTACTATACAATTGAAAAGTGCCATATTAGCTAATCACTCTGAAAGAATGGTATATCTATATTTTGGGGGATATGAAAAAATAGATCTCCAAGAATGCTCTGTCAACCGAGTCTGTCACTTTTAAGAGTGATAGCTTGTTGCCTCAGATTAATTAACATTTAAGGCAACAGAACATGTTGGAATATTATTTTTGGAAATCTAATTTTGGGGACTGTATAGCATGAGTACAGCTTCTTCTAGCTTCTAGCTCCCCAGAGTACAATTAGAAATAATATATTTCACCTTGTTGTAATTCTAAACTTGGTATCTAAGAAAGTGGTGACAAATACTTTTTAGAGGAAACTAAAGAAAATTACAGTGGACATACTTCTTCTTTCCCCTTCTACAAACTTTTTCAACCACAGTTTTCCAATTGGAATACTGAAAGGGTTGCCCTCTTTGCTTCCAAATATTCTGTGTATGTATATGCATGTGCGTGACAGAGTATGTTAATATGTGTATATTTCATTTCAAAGTTATCCTGCATACGCAGAGAAGGAAAAAAAACCTAAAGTGGAAACGTTAGGGGTAACTATACAATCTTGCAAAAACACGTGTTAAATGGTTTTCACTTTTTATATGAACATTTCCCATGAATTAAAATATTTTAATGCATTTTTTAAACCTAAGAATGAAATTCAAAAGAGATCAAAATCAAGTCCGCATTCAGGTGCAAACAAATAAATGAATAAATAAATAGGCACAGGAATAAGCATAGGATTGAGGAGATCTGAATCAGCAGCATCTTATGTCAAACAGATCCAAATATTGTTCACCACAACCTGTACACAAGCCACAAGGGAATGACATGAAGCTGTTGCAGCTTTAAGAATAACATCCAGATCATGAGAAGCAAGAATTTTATCATATCTTCAGCCTTTAGGCTACATCTGGAGTACAGTTTAGGCCTCATATTTGAAGTATATTGACAAATCAGATTGTGTCAACAGTAGGACATCCAGAACATTGAGGAAACAAGAAAACAAATCTAGTGAAGAGCACCTGAAGAGCTGGATACACATATACAAGAGAAGAGGAAATTAAAAGGTGACACGATAGTTGTCAAAAAAAAAATCTGAAGGGCTGTTATGCAGAACATCCTTTATGCTGCTTCAAAGTGCATGACTAGAACTAATGGATAGAAACAACAAAGAAGCAGATTTTGCCTCACTTTGAGGAGAAACTTCTAACCATAAAAAAAGTTCAGTAGTGGAATGACCTTCCTCTGCAGACAGTGGTCTCTCTTCATTTGAATATAAAAGCAGAGGCTGGGTTGAGTTCTACACTAAGCAAGAGGCCTCCAAAGCCCTGCCAAATTTAAAATTTTGATTGTAAGTGATGTTTTATTATTTTTTATTTTGTGGAAGATTTTCCTGAGTCATATTTTGGCTTTATTCTATTCCTCCCCCCCCCCCTCTTCATAAGTGCCATGGTTACTCTGTTAGTCGCTTCTCCCTCCAACCTTAATTTATTTTCTACGAATTCTAATGCCATATTTTCCAGTGCTGCTAGTATTTAAACTTTCCTATAACTAGGTACAGTAGAGTCTCACTTATCAAACATAAATGGGCTGGCAGAATGTTGGATAAGTGAAAATGTTGGATAATAAGGAGAGATTAAAGAAAAGCCCATTAAATGTCCAATTACATAATGATTTTACACATTAAGCACCAAAACATCATGTTTTACAACAAATCAACAAAAAAATACATGGTGCAATGTTATGTAGTAATTACTGTATTTACGAATTTAGCACCAAAACATTGCAATGTATTGAACCAGCTGTGGACCCGGGTGGGAGGCACAATGCATTGGATGATATAGAATGTTGGATACACAAGACTTTTCTGTACATGACTCTTGTGACAATCATATTAAAGGTTACCTAGTAGCTTTTTGATATAACAGTAAATAATTCAGATGGCATTGAAGAGAGAGTCATTTTATAGATGAACATACATTCACATATTCAATAGGAAATCAGCAAATAGATCACACTAACCATGATAACTCAGCACAAAGAAGCCACTTGTTGTGAAGTCACTATGGAATTTTATGAGTATCTGATTTGAAGTGCTGTAGACAGATTCCAATGCTGTGTTTCCACTAAACTGACCAATCTGCGGTGAACTTTGGTCAGGTCCATCCCTGAAAAGAGCAATCACAATGCCAGCAACAAAGTTAAATAAAAGTTAAAATTCTCAAGACATACCAAAAATAAAACATAAATAAAGAAGAATGCAGAGTCATGTGTCAACAGCACAATTCTGTGATTTAGAAGTAAAACCCCTTGTTTTAATTACTCTCTAAGATAATGGTTAAAAACAAGTTGCAATGCAACAGGAAGCAGACAGCCCTTTATTCCATAATTGTTCATTGTTCCACAACTCTTATAGCTGGAATTTGGTATCTAGTTAGCTCCTTTTTACACAGTTTCTACCACTTTGACCTTCAAAAAGATTCAAGATCCCTCCCAGTGGTGCAATCTATGATTTGTTTAGATAAAGTGATCACTGCAAGGGCCCTCAGCACTACTTATAAATCCTGGCAAACAACACTTAATGCCATATAAAAAATTGTTGGCAATTTTCAATGGAAACTAGGATGTTTTGAGAAGGCATAGATGATGAGTAGAGTGGCTCTTCTTCCTCTTCACTATGAGAAGTGAGAGAGATAGCAGGAAATTGATGGCAGAATGAGATCTGAATGGGGGCAGAGAGATGATTTATTTCTTTACAATAAATCTTGTGGTAATGGGTTCTCCAATAAGGTGAACACACAAAAGACAAAGAATCCAGAGTACAGAAGGTCATTATACCAGACCCTTGGTGTCCATTGGAGTTTGGTTCCAGGACCCCTTATAGTTAAAAAAGTGGATGGTGAAATTTTATTAGAAACAATAGCATAGTAAAATTGTGTCCCTTGCATAACATGGAAAAATCGAGGTTCATTTGTTTGTTTTTTGGTGGGGAGGATATTTTCAAGCCATGGATAGCTGATTCTGTGAATTCATAATCCATTAATACAGAGAAAAAATGTACTGTATTTTCAATCTAACTGGCTAGAGCAATATTCACACACACACACACACACACACACACACATACCTTGGAGTATTTAAATAAGAAAATGTGAAGATGGACAAGCAAATGGACCCTGCTGATCAAATTTTTGGTATTCCAAGGAACACCTATATTTTATTTTGTCCTTTTACAAAGTGTGAAACTACTTTAGAATATACTCGTGTCCATAAATGTTATGTCAACTGTATTTTACAAATATTCAATATTCTGAAGATAATGTTTATGGAGTATTCAAAGTCTTTGGCTAACATTCAAGTTGATTACATAAAGATGTTGGCATTGTCTGTTAACTATAAGATTTGTGGTCATATTTAGACACTGAAATGCTGGCATTTGAAGTAACATAAAAATAGGCCATTTACAATTATGCCATTTTTAATATTGTGGCAGATTTCTAATCAGATCAATAGTGGGCAAAATATCAGTTCCCCCCCAAAAAAATAATCCTGTTTTTTTTTCTCTGTTCCCAGAAATATTCAGGCACAATCAAAATTGCCAGACCATCCAGTTTATCTGCTTTAAACTGGATTATATGTCAGCATAAAATCATATAGTCCAAAGTAAATAATCTGGATTCAAAAACTGGATTATATGGCAGTGTAGATCCAGCCTCAATGGATCCATGCACCTTTAAGAAATCAAGCAGGAAAAGTACTAATTCAGTTCTTGGTTTTCATCAAAAACATAAATGTTTTGTATGACAATTCTCTAATTATTTATTTGAATTATATATGTTTTCTAATTTCTGATACAAGAAGTGGTTCTCTATCAAGCTGATGGATTTCTTTCAATGGCTCTATCAGAAAGGGTAGCTATTTTAATTGCCTATTTTAAATAAGGATGCTGCAGAATGTAGATGTAACACTACTACATTTTTTGTAGGCCAGAATCCAAGCCTTTGAATTCCCCATGGAAGGCAATTTTTTATGAAGATTTTTTTCCTGAAATATTTTCTTTTCCTTAACCTCAATTTTGAGATATAGCCATTACTGACAACAGTAGTGCATGCTATGCATTAAAAATCATTGCTCCAAGAAGCAAATTATTGAAAATACAAGAAACGTTTCTCTGAACACGGCTCTGAAAAATCACTGGATCGGTTTCCACAATCATGTTTATAACAATCTATTATGGCTGCTTATTAGGCACCATAGCTTCTCCAATATTTTTCAGCAACATTTGTTTTTATATCTCCTCTTTGATTGCAGGTTTGTCAGTACGTAAGGCAGCACCTATTCAGTAAATGTGGATGGTTAAGTGGCAAAGCGAGATGATCAGCCTTCAGCTAGAGGAGGCAGCTGACTAGAATAAATATAGTTTGTTCATGCTGTGGGAACTGCAGGCAAAAAAGAAGAAGAAGAAGAAGAAGAAGAAGAAGAAGAAGAAGAAGAAGAAGAAGAAGAAGAAGAAGAAGATTTCTCTTAGACTTGCAAGGCTTTCCAGCTCAGTGTAGAGCTACCAGCAGCAAGTTCTTGCTGATGGCAGCGATGCCAAATGAGGATAACTGGAGCCTGAAGTAGAAGGCCTGGCAAATGAGGCAGTGAAAAGAGATGCACTGAATCATAGCTGCATCTTTTTCCTTCCTTGTTGTTAAAATATTCTCTTTAGCCTCAACTACATTCACACGATTGGTCATTCCTCCTTGCTTTGCAATTATTTCCCTCAATTTGTCATCCTTCTGTCACTGAAAGTACTGCTCAAATCACTACTGATCAGGATTTTCAATTTAGACTCGTATTTTTGCTGCCATGCACATAGATTGAAAAAATGGGCATTGGATCTATTACAAAGCTGGTTATATCTCTTTTCAGAGTAATAGTTTGTGGGCAAAACAACTTGCTTATTTGAGTCTTTCTAATAAACAATGTTATACAAAAGTAAAAAATCCAAAGGCTGTTGCTTTGATTGGAATATACAGCTAGATTTCTCTAGATTTGGATCTGCCTATTTGTCTTTAATGATGAATTCTAATCCACATACTGTATTTTTTGGAAAATAAGGCTGAGTCTTTTATTTATTTATTTATTTATTTATTTATTTATGATATTTCTATCCCATCTTTCTTAAGCCTGAACACAACTCAAGGTGGCTTAACAACTCAAGGCAGCTTAATTATATTAATTTCTATCCCAATAGATGTATTAGGGCTTATTCTCAGGGGATTTTTTTCATGTATCAAATGCACACATTATTTATGCATTGTCTGTACTCCCATTGTGCATTAGGTAATAAGTCTCAAGTTCATCTATTTACATAGGCATTGAAAGGCTCCCATAGAATCATAGAATAGAGTTGGAAGAGACCTCATGGGCCATCCAGTCCAACTCCCTGCCAAGAAACAGAAAAATCACATTCAAAGCACCCCATACAGATGGCCATCCAGCCTCTGTTTAAAAGTCTCCAAAGAAGGAGCCTCCACCACACTCTGGGGCAGAGAGTTCCACTACTCTCATAGTTAGGAAGTTTTTTCCTAATATTCAGGTGGAATCTCCTTGGTAAATGAGTCCATCTGGCTGTCAATCTTAACTCAGTTTATTTTGGGAGTAGGGCTTATGTTCTGAGCATCCCGAAAAATCATGCTTGGGTTTATTTTCTGATTAGGTATTATTTTTGGTAAAACAGGATATATCTCCGGTGGTTTGGTTCCAGGACTCCTATATAACAAAATCCATGGATGTTCAGTTCCCATTATATACAATAGCAGAGTAAAATGGTATCCCTTAAATAAAATGGTAAAATTAAAGTTTGCTTTTTGGATTAAAAAGAAAATTCAAGTCTTCGATGGTTGAATTTATGGGTGCAACATCCACAGATATCGAAGATCAATTCCAGTTGATTGCTGTGAATTCTATGACTAGCTGCTGAATCAGTGAACCACCTCTCGTTCACCCTTTTATTCTATTAATGACAGCCTAAATATAGCATAAGTCATTAATAAAATGTATTTGGGAAGCCATCAACTGAAACACTCCCAAAGTACCAGATCCCATCTGATTTTGAAAGCTAAGCAGTGTCAGCCTTGGTTAGAACTTGGATGGCAGAATGACAACAAATGCCATGTGATGGAGGCTATATTTCATGAGAAAGAACAGGCACAATAGCTTTTGAGTATTCCTTGCCAAAGGGGGTGAGAGCCATGAAGTTGATGAGGTTGCTATAAATCCACAAGTACTTGAAGGGACACACTTACACACACACATTTGTGAAGCACTTACATATGCTGATTTTTTTTTAACAGAAAAAGATATTAGTGTGCTCATTGGGGCTTACTCGCTGGTTTTCTATGTTAATCATAACCTATCTGACATATAACAGAAAATGATAAAGAAATGCCAGTAATTATAATTTCTAAATACAGAATACATCTTATTAAGCTTTAGTTGACTTATTGAAGAATGCAAGATATTTTGTACTACAAATCTGAAATGCTGAAACACACCAAAACAGTAAGATGAACCAAAATATTAGTTGTTCATATGTGTTATACAATAAATGGGTTGATCATGTTAATTTCTGCTTACCAAACAGTTATGAAATCATATATTGGTTCTGTCTGAAGAACAGTAAAATTGATATAAATTCCATTCCCAGGTGGTACTTTAACAAGCCAAAAACAGTCTTGGAAATTCGGATATTCATCAGGATATCCTGGCGAATATATAGTACCATTCATAGCAGTTATATTTCCACCGCAAAGAGCTGTAAAACAAAACAAAAGAAACTAACAGCAATAGTTTACATATATCCTGTAATATTTCTGCATTTTTTAAAAAAATAAAGTTAAAAAGAAATCAGACTGATATCATGAATGACAAGAAGCAGATGCACTACTCAATTGGTCTCAGCACTATTAAATATACAATGTGATCATACTATATGATGAGAGGCAATATGAATAACATTTGGAAAGGGACCAGAATGTGCTAGTTCCTCCATGGTAAAGAAAAAGAAACTCAATAACAAGAAACTAAATTGACTAGTTTAAAGATGACGTAATTAATTTCCCAACCACATTTAAGATATTAGGAGTGGGGATTTGAGTTACCCGTTGCCTCCCTTCAATAGTTTTCCCCTAAGAGTGTGACCTTGTCTAAGCATCCCAAGAACTACAGCTACTGTATAATACTTGAGTAATGTTCAATTTCCTTAAACATTCCCGTCCCCAAAAACACAATGTTTACTTCTTCCAAAATGATACATGTATACGAAATATCTACTGAAAACATACCTTCACACCTTGGTAAAGGATGGTTCCAGTTACGGCTGATTCCATGAAGACAAGTAAGAGCTGAATTTCCAATTAAAGTATATCCCGGAAAACACTCAAATGAAACTGTTTGCCCCACAGTAAAGTCAGTTCCAATGACAAAACCGTTGCGAAAGGGTCGTGGATCAGGACAACTTTGCAACTGATATGCTAAAACAAAATGTTAAGCATCATTACCTCTTTAGACTACCAGCAATTTTTTTCTCCCTGAGATGTAATTTTCCAAGCTAAAACAGCTATAGCATCCTATTCCCTGAAAAAGTTGTGAAGCTTTTCAAAACATGTTGCTGGGCAAACTTCTATTACCCATAGAAGGTGAACTTGTCTTGTGAACCAAGCAATTTTCTACAATTCTCTCTTTCTCCCCACTTTTCTTTCTCAACCACCCACTGACCCATCAGCCCCCAGTGGCGCAATAGGTTAAACCGACAGGTCAGCAGTTCGAATCCGGGGAAAGTGGGTTGAGCTCCCTCTGTCAGCTCTGGCTCCCCCTGCGGGGACATGAGAGAAGCCTCCCACAAAGATGACAAAACATCCGGGCATCCTCTGGGCAATGTCCTTGCAGATGGCCAATGGCCAATTCTCTCACACCAGAAGCGACTTGCAGTTTCTCAAGTCACTTCTGACACACACACACACACGCACAACAAACAAACAAAACAATGGAAGACACTTTTATGGAAAAATTACATTTCCATGCCCTCCAGTACTGGGTTGAAAATTATATTGTGCTCAGACTGAGATAAAACTAATAAGTGTATGCAATGACATATACTGATGTCACATTGAGAGAGAGCTGGTTTCAGAAAACCTATGATCTAATTATACCTCAAATATAGTATCCAAATGTTAATTAAGAAAAGGTTCTCTCTGCAGAATCTGCAGTCCAGATCAATATGTGACTTTCTAGTAACTACCCCTACAAATACCTGCAGGAGAGATGGACAGATTGATCATCTTTAATTTTGTCCAGACCCTTCTGGTCTTAAGTTCATTCCAACCTATTTCTACAGCACTTTGCATTTATTAAAGTTGTATGCATTTGTGCATATCTCTCCTAATATAACATATTTTATGCTACTTGTATACATATTTATATATATTGTCCAACATATCAATTTGGGGTGATTTTCCTCGATGCCCACATTTTTATATGCACTTTGTTGATTGGAGCAAAGCACCGCACAATTCAAAGAAGATAAATCCCAAGGAATGACTGTATTTCACATTATATTTCAGGAAGTGTAATTTAGGGGGACTCACATTAAAATGTGAGCTGAATGAATTTCTTTTTTATACCATGTTCTCAGCCAGCTATAAAATGCTCACAGTGCTTCCTCAGGAAACTGATTGGATTTTAGTCATTCTGAACAAGTATAAACACTTTCAAACAATTTTACAGTCATATAGAAACATTATTCTTCCTCTGTTGTTGTTTTTCCTTTTCTTGATATCGGTTTGCTCTCTGACATAGTACATTTTGCTTCCTATTCCTCATTGATCTGCCTTTGTACTTCTGCCCTCTGGATAACAGTGCTAGCATAATCAATATATATAAAATTGGTAAAATTCTTAGGCTTCTCCAGTTTGATAGTGTTGCTGTATTACTGTGTTGGATCAGCATCCCCCTCCTTTCTTGAGTTTCAAACAGCATTCACAATTTACTCATATAATCCACACTCCACATGATTCCACTCTTAGTAGCAATGCTTGCACTTTCATAATGCTATTTTGCCCTACAGCTGACTGTACCTATGGCCAATTCAAGGACAAGGCTAGCTGTCTCATTTAAGTATTTACTTTTTCTTCCTTTGCATTTCAGTATACTTTGTGAACTGCTCTTTTTTCTAAGCAGCCCCGTGGTAGAGGGGGCTATTCTTCTAGAAAACAAAAATCCAGTTAACTTTTTGTGCACCGTTTTCTGAATTCTATGTATCACATAAACTGTCATGGAAGCCTTTCTTCACCAACAAAAAAAGGGAGGGGGGTGTCCTAGCGCCTACCAAAACTATTTAACCTTTAATATTCCATGACAACCTATTTTAAATAACATCACCTTAAGCCTATTACCACATCCAGATTAAACAGTGTGAGATAGGTGGAAACAAAAAACCCAAAGCTACTTGGGAAAAAAATCCTACCTGGCCCTAACGCAATCAGTTTGCACTCACACTACCCATAGGGAAGAAGAGTGGGTCATGAACCCAATGAAACAGAGTAAAAAGGGGTAGCTAGCTTGGCCTTAAATCAGCTCCTGTTCTGCCCCTCACCATACTGCCAGGGCTTGTGAATCCAGCCGGCTCCAATTACTGCAGGCCAGGGGTCTTCAAATACCAACCCACCTGCCACCGCCATCTCATGGTTTTAGATGTTGGCTGTATGTGGGGCTTGCGGATATGATATTTTCCATGCTTTTGACAATACATACATACATACATACATACATATGTTTATACCTATGGCATATTATCAAGTACATAAATAGGCTTTTGGAATTATCTAGTTCTGTAGTGAATTGTACTAGTAGAAAGTATTTATTACCTGAATAATGGGATGTATAATGTTTTACAAGCCTACTACTATGCTGCTTGTTCAAAACCTTCCAACCCTCAGGAGAACTGGGGTTTTTTTTTAAGCAAAAAAGCAAGCCATAGAAGATTGAAAAGAGGCACAAAAGCTCTGAGACATCTTACAAAGTCTTTAAAATGAGGTTTAATTGAACTGGCTCTATTCATCCTAACTATTACACAACCATTAGATATAAGTTACCTCATTTTTACAAAACTATGTTGTGTAAAAAAGCCATGAACGAAAGAAATTCCTACAATACTTAAGTGAACATACTCACCTTGATACACTATATGAAACCCTTGTTTATTCTGAGAATAGTCACTGTGAAAATATAAGCTAGTTTCATGTGTTGTACTGAAAAGAGAAGATGGTAGTTGTGGGCCACTGAGTCTCCCAATAACTGTACTAATATCTGTTGATCCACTTCTTACTTCCAAATAATCATGAATTGTCTCTGTTGAAAAGTTGACAAATTGCAAGTGGACACCTGAAAATATATATATTGATAATAAATAAGAAGGCAGGATGGAAAAGTATGTCAATTTCTAACTACTGATATTGTGCACAGAAAATATAAAAACAATGAGGAAAAATGGCAAAGGAGATGCAATTTTATTAAATCCACATGCAAGTAGGTATCTGTCCCTGAAGGAAATAGCTTTTTATGCAGGAAAAGCAATAATTCTGTGTAAAGATGCTGTTTTTTGTTTGGAAAGTTTTTCACATAACAACTGCATGCAAATTTTGTGTAAAATAAATCCCAAAATATGAAGATCCTCATCAATCCACAATTTTTCTTATCATGAATCCTTAACATGCAAAAATATGTTTTTAGATTATTACTGAATATTCTCCCTGTCCCTAACATTTTGCTTCATAGTTATCCTCTTCTCCACTAACTTGCAGGAATTAGAGAGAAGAGATAAACAATCCAGTTGTTTAGAAATTGAAATAATGTCGCTGGTTTGGATTTAATAGTATTGTACCATGCCACTTAAAGTGGTGCCAAACTGTGTGTGGATGCACCCAAAGTATGATTGGCCCCCTGCCCTTTTTTGTGGCCTCCTTTTACTGTAACTGCTGAGTTTTTTGCTAGCAATTATATTCACCACTTTACAGGAAAGGGGATTCCATCTGAACATTAGGAAGAACTTCCTGACTGTAAGGGCTGTTCAGGAGTGGAACTGTCTTGAAGTGTGGTGAAAGCTCCTTCCCCAAAAGCTTTTAAGCAGAGCTTGGGTAGCCATCTGTCAGAGGTACTTTGATTGTATTTTTCCTGCATCGCAGAGAGTTGGACTAGATGACCCAACTATTATTCTATGATATACGTGCACACACAAAAACACAGTTTCAAGAACAGAGAAACAACAAATCACTCAGTTTTTGTGAAGTAGGATTACAACATACCAAATCCAATAGGCAGCTTGATGGTCCATGTGCAATCCAAGCTGCTGGGATAATTCCCAGGAAATCCAGGGCTAAGGATTACTCCACTGAAGTCTGACATAGAACCACCACACTGTGCTACAAAAAGAGGATAGAACAAATAAAGGCATGTTAAGAAACAAAATTAGACCCATGGAAAATGGTTAAGCTAGCCTTCTTTGTTGACCTAATACCATTATTTCCTTGAGTATAATGCACCACTGAATGTTATTGCACCTCAAAAAAAAAAAAGAATTTGCTGTTGAATGTAATGTGGGGCAGTAGTGACTATGAAAAGGCTGGTGGGATGTCACAACCATCTGGTGTTTCCATCAGCTTTTCATGGCCACCGCTGCCTCTGTCCCCAGCTGGGATTTCTTGCCCAACAGAGCAGATGGGCTTAGTTGTGTGATTCAAATGCATCATCAAATCTAATTTGTACCTCAATTTTAGGAATATACTTTAACAAAAAAAGGTGAGCATCAGATGTGAGTAAATACGGTAAGACATTATTGTCTCTCTTGATAGTGATTGAGTTGCAACAAGATTGTCACCAACGTGGGACTAAAATCCTGCTGAAAAGTGTGAGATAGCAACCGGATGCTCATCTTGGAAGTGTGTTATGCTGGGTTAACAAAGGAAATGAAATTATGTGTGCTGGGAGAGAGTATGGCCAGCTGAATCATCAACAAATAGTAGAGATGTAAACCTACAGTGGACCCTTGGTATCCATTGGATTGTTTTCCAGATCCCTGTGGATAACAAAACCAATGGATGTGCAAGCCCCATCATATACAATGGAACAGAAACATGGTGCCCCTTTTAAGAAATGGCAAAATTCTGGATATTTTCAAACTGTGGAAAGCTGAATCTGTGGATACACCTTTTCTACAAACAGTGCCATTATTGTTTGTCTGTATAATATCCATCAACAAGGGGGGGGGGTGTTTCAAAAAGATTTGGTAATATTTTTGCAAAATTACAAAAGAAAAACCTGCTGAGAGATTGTATAGGACAGTGGTTCTCAACCTTTGAGTCCCCAGATGTTTTGGCTTTCAACTCCCAGAAATCCTAACAGCTGGTAAATTGGATGGGGTTTTTGGGAGTTACAGGCCAAAACACATGGTTCAGAACCACTGGTATAGGAGATATCACAATTTTCAATATTTAAACTAATTGGTCATTTAAACTAATAGAGTCTCATTAAGACAGAAAAAGCAGAATGATGATGGTAAGAAGAAGAAGAAGAAGAAGTCCAGTTTTCTTAATCTTTTAATAAAATAAAATACATCTAAATTATCTGGAAACTCAAATGTCTGCTTCTACTGCTGATTTAAGCTATGTTACTCAATACATTCCTTCTCCAAATCTTCAAGTAAAGGTCTTTCATTAATTTGATAATTCATTCTGAAAACATGAAGTGTAGAAGATAAAGCCCTGATATACATATAAACAATATTATATGTATTATACTGATTAAACAATATTATATGTATTATACTGATTAAACAATATTATATGATATACTGATAAACAATATTTGATTGTTTATCCTAAGCTTCCCAATATTTTTCAGTGTTCATACGAAATAGCCAAATATAGTACATAGGAAACATACCTAAGCAAATTGGTATGGGATAATTCCATCTTCTTACTGGTCCAGGCATACAGGTGATATGTGAATGTCCCTATAAATAACAAGATTATTTTTTTAAAAAATCATGGCAATGAAGTAGAAAATGTATGGATTGATATAAATTTATTTATTTATTTATTTTGGGTTTTTTTGCTACACATTCATTTTCCTGCACAAAAGGGATGGTCCAGTTTTTGTTCCTTCTGGATCTGCAGTTTCTTTACTATGTCTATATTTTTTTTATTTCTTTGGATTTCATATATAATTTTACAGTGGATTCATGACTCTACTGAAAGATAAATGAGCCAAGAAAGCCTCCTCTGCTGGTTGGGCCAATTGCAGTTTGTGAAATTGTTATTGCTAAACAAATTACACTTAGTAAAAAAATTGAAAAAAATGTTCCTGGTTTGAAAGTGTTAGTCCTGTTTAGTTGTGCAGTACTTACTTTGAAAGTAGTTGTTATACTCTGGAAACTTCATTTTTGTGGCTGCCACAAACTACGTTGAATTGGTTGAGTCTCAGTGAAATATTCATTGAAAAACTATAGCGAAATATGTTGCAGGATGTCCCACAAAAACAAAGTTTTTGCAGTTTAATTATCTTCTCCCATGTTTTTTAATGATAGAACCAATTGGGAAATGACATTTATAACACAATCAAAAATCATGTTTTAAGAAAAAATAACAGAGATTTATCTATATCAGCTGAAATCTACTGGGAGTTTAACTGGAAAATATAAAAATAACTAAATCAAATATTGATAATGCTTTAGGTTTTGTAGTATTATATGATACAATGTAAATTCATATTCTTACCTGAAGAGAATATCCTTGGTCACACTGAAAAGAAACTACATCTCCAACCATGTATCTGTCTCCAATCTTGATTCCACTGCTTGGTGTCTGTGGTTCAGGGCAAGAGTCCAAACCTATTGCTGTGAAAAGTTAAAAAACTTAACAGTGACAAAATAACTTTCTTCCATTGTAGACACAGATTTTATTACATACAGAACATATAAGATTCATAAGCTATATAATGAAGGACATATATCTGCAAAGTAGTGTTTTTTAGTACTTTTAATCTTAAATTAACCTTTTTCATGTAAACTACATTGGGCCTACTTATTCCATTTTAAACCATGATTTTTAAATTTGCATTCTATTAATCTTTGAACAATGTGTTCTAATATATGTATTTTATGGTAATGTGCTGTAATGTATGTATTTTAATGTATGTAAAATAATGTATGTATTTTATTGTGATTTTTTTTTACTGTGCTGTGTCTAATCTCAAGCCTTGAATGTTGTTGTTGTTGTTGTTGTTAATATTAACATTATTACTATTATCATTATCATCCAACTGTAACATGGTCTAGATGGGATATTGTATTGGTATGGAATTCATTTTTCCTCCATGCACCCAGCCAGTAACTTTCACCTGAAGAGATTCTATGTCCCATCTTACTGGTTGGGAGAACCAAAGCACTGTATTTTTAGCTTTGGACATTTTTAGTCAGTTTGGGGGTAAAAAAAAATCTCGATGCTTCTGTAGGGTTCCAAGGGAAACACGCATAGCTCCCAATACCACATACAAATAGTGTTTTGTCCAGTGTTTAGGTAATGAGTGAACCAACTGAATGTTGCGGATTCCAGGAAGCCTTAGGACAGAGATGAACACAAAACTGTAACACGTTTTCATACTGGAATTTCCTGCCATAACCAAGTGCAAAGCAATGTCTTGGGAAAATAAAGAGACACAGATGCAAAATCATGTGTAAGGGGCAGATCCAATTTTCTACTCCACAATGTGAGCTACACTGAGTTGAACAAGACATGGGTTTTGCAATCAATCCTCTCTTTTGAAATAGGTCAGGTTTCCCTACTCCTTTGTGTCTTACCCTTTCCCCCTGACCATGTGAGACATTCAGCTTCATACTTCTGGATTAGAAAAACAGAGAGCTAAAGAATTAAATGAGTTACCTCCCTTATGGTCATTCAGTGCAACTCTACAGAACAGATGGTTTTTAGATTACAATAGTGATGCCTTACTGAAGTCTACCAAGTTCCTTAAAGTCATTCTTAGAATTGGCATGAATTTCCTTAAATTATGATTGAGAGAAAAGCTGAATGTTGCCATGGTTCATACGGGGGGGGGGGGGGGGGGGGGGAGTTTAAAAAATAAAAAAAATTAAATCAGATGTTTAAAACATTCCATTTACAAATGTCTCATAGTTAAGGACACAGGTGTGCCATCAGGAAGTGAGAGAAATCTCCCCCTTGGAAGTGAAATTTACAGGGACAGAAAGTGAGGTGAAATCCTGAATAAGGGCACAGACAGCAAAACAAACACCACAGGGGTGTTAACCCTTCCCTATGCTTTCTAAAGTTACACTTAAAATGTACCTGTTCTGACTTACAAACAAATACAAATTAAGAACAAACCTACAGAACCTATCTTGTTTGTAGCTTGGTGACTGTCTGTACTTAGTATGGGTCAATTGCATTTCTGGTTATCTTCATCGCTACATGTTTATATGAAGGCCAGCAACCTTGTCATTCTATTCTATTTCCAATTCTGTTCAATAGCTTTTCCACCCCTCTTTTATTACAATCAACAAATCAAGAAAGAAAGAAAGAAAGAAAGAAATATTTGTGATAGTTGGCTAATAATTGGAGACCTTGTTTATAGCTCTTCAAACAATATTGTTATGTCTACTGTGTAGGCCTATTTCAATGTGACTTCTTCAACAAAGAAGAAAATTTTAAATGCCTCATTTGCTAGGAAACGTATTGACTGCAGAAGTGGATGATCAACAGCTCTACAGGAGCAATACAAATGCAATATATATACCATTTAAAACAGCTGGATCAAACACTAAATTCAGTACATAGTGGCAACAACTCCTGGATGTTGCAACACTTTTTTTATTTCCACTAGTTGTCAAATAGCCAATTATCTGGATATCTTTGGAATAAAGACAGCTAAATAAAAACCCAATAGGAATACATGACAGCAAATCAAAAGCTTACAGTAGACACCTTTATCAGTACTATTATAATATCTAAAATTCAGTACATATTGGTCACAACAAGAAAACAACAAATATTGAACAGGTAGTGAACCAAAAAAATCAAGTGTTTAAATAATAGATTTAGATATTATGTCGGAAATTTTGATTACAATATCATTGTTTGCAACTCTAGTCTTTTAAACCCTTTTTTAATAAGAAGGGACCTCAGAGAAGTTTTTCAAGTTTTCAGAAGAATGTGGCACACATAATCTCAGCACTACTTTCATCTATTTTATCAACTAGATTACCATATGGGTACCATATCCATTTTACTACATCTTCCATTAGCAAATTCAAATGGTGAGTGCTAACAGGAAAGTAGCCCAAGTGATCCCATTGAAACAGAAGAGGAAGAAATTGCTAGACCTGGGGAATTATAAATGTATGTACAGAAACATCTGACTGAACATGAAAAGAAGGGAGATGGTGTGGCTTGGTTGAAGGAAACAAATGATGGTAACAATGAACATGTAATAAAGCATGTAGGAACATTGCAATATTTTGTTGCAGAACACATAGAGCATTGCAACAAGGAAATGTAGAATAGTTTATAGAAGACATTACCTTTATAATAATATTAGTTTTCCAAGAAAATGTTCCCATTTAAAGATGGTGCTACTTAAGAGTAGAATGTAAACTCAACATCAGATTTTTAAAATGTACGGTGACGCCCAATAATAAAGAATTTGTGTTTTCTAACAGACCAAGATTTAGCTTGTTTAAATATAATTCTTTGTGTATTGATTCCTACAATAGCAAGACATATAGCAAGTATATTACCTGTGTACTCCAAGTGAAATCCAGCAGCTGACACACTAATATCTGACTGAAAATTAAGGTACAGGTTGTTGGATGTACTGTTGAGAAGTGGTGGTATTGTAGTCCCTATGGAAAGGAATGTTAACAACTTATTGAGTCAGCATTACAAATAATCCACCTGTTTTTATTATAAGGTATCTGTTTGTGAACATGTATTAACAGGTTCTATAGTTGCACATTTTGTGCAGGATGTAAGTATGCATTCTTGGCTAGTCCCTTTGGTACCGAGCTAGCCAATTGTAAATTGGGAGTACTGTGAGAATTATTATTATTTTTGCCATTTTATACAAGGGACACCATTTTACTATGCCATTATAAATAATGAAACGTGACCATCCATAGATTTTTGTATCCACACAGGATCCTGGAATCAAATCATTGTGAATAGTAAGGACCCATTTACCACTCTATTAGAAAAAAAAATACTCTGAGGTCGACAGAGGGTAATCCATATTGCAAATAGTACACTACAGTCCTATACAAATACAACCCTACATGAAAAAATTGACATACACTCTGAATAACTAACTAATTCTGAAATACTAGCACATTCATGTATTAAATGAATAGGATTGATAGATCATACAGTGGAACTTTTACTTACAAAAGTCCCTACATATGAACTTTTTGACTTATGAAACATCACTTGACTCAGTTTTTGCTTTAAGATACAAATGGAGATCTGAGTTACGAAGCCTCCTTCTCCATCATCTGCCCTCCCACAAGTTCCTTTCAAATCCCCTCTCTTCCCCTCCCTTCTTTTTTTTCTCTCCATCTCCTCACAACAGTGGGCACTGGCATTTAGGGGCCCGGGTAGGGGGATTGTGCATGTGGCTATGAGGGGGACAGGAGCGAATGCATGAGGTGGCATGGGCAGGAGTATGTGGATAACGCAGCGGCAGGGGTATGTGTGCATGAAGCAACTGTGATGTGATCATCCCCTTCATCATCTGTCTTGTTGGTTTGCACTGAATCAATGGGATGGTTGATGAAGGGGATGCTCATCTCACAGCTGCCTTGCACAAGTGCTCCCACTGCAGCTTCTTTGAGCATACACTGTTGATGTGGAACTGGCCAGACAGCTTTTCGCTGGGGAGAACTGTGTGCGTGAGGAGGAGAGGCAAGGCATATATGATGGGGCCTTCATTGACAGATGATTCAGCCAGGTCTCTCTCCAGCTGTGAGCAAAAGGCTTCGTGAGATCTGCCCCTCCATGACATATGGAGGTGGACAATGGAAAGGCAAAGGCGGGTTTGTGTGCAGGGAGGGCTAAAAAGGTGCCAAGGGGTCTACTGGGGTGTGTGAGGGGAAGAAGACCAAGAAATAGATGGTGTGGTCTTTGGAGTAGCTGAAGCAGATTAATAGCATTTCGATGTATTTCAATTGGGAAAATTGCTTTTGACATACAATTGTTTTAACTTAAGAACATGGTCACAGAATTAATTAAATTCATACGTCAAGGTTGTATCTTCAGAAGCGGCACAGGTAAATTTGGTGTTACAATGTACAACATTAGAAAGGTACTTATTCTTTCTATTCACCTGAATAGCTTCCAAGTCTTGGAGCATTATTATCAGAGCCATCATAAAAGTCCAAAGAGTCCCAGTTATGCTCTGTTGCAAAGCTTATAACTTGCACCTACAAAAAGAGAAAATTAATTGCAAAATTACAGGGGGAAAATACATATTACACTTGTTGAGCACTTAGCCTCTAGAACAAAGTACGCAATAGAGATTTCATTTGGTTTGAGTATGTCTAATAGAGTGCTGGATTCAATAAAATATTTCCCTATGAGGGCCATTTTTGCACATTATAAATGAAGTTTTGCAACTCCTCTGCTTGCTAGTAAAAAGAACTCATAAATAAGCATGACTTTCATTATCAGTCAAGGGCACATTTCTAATAATGTTTTCTGCATGTACAGATCATATTTAATACAATCAGATCACTTAATAATGCAACTTTCAATGGCAAAAATGCTGAAATGAGGCCTTGTGCAGTTTCCATATTCCAGCTTTCTAACATTCACTACAATAATAAAAAGTCAGTTCTGATGAGATATCATTTTTATATGTGATGAGTGTTTGATTCAGGTATCAAACACTCTGATTCAGGTATCAAACCTCTGGGTTGAAGATGGTGCTGCTGAACGCCAGATCTGTCAACGGGAAAACATCCTTCATCCAAGACTTAATTTTGGAGGAACGGGCAGATCTGGCGTGCATTACGGAGACCTGGCTGGACGAAGCTGGAGGAGTAAATTTGACCCAGCTTTGTCCACCAGGCTTCTCCGTACAGCACCAATCGAGACCTGGAGGGCGGGGAGGCGGAGTTGCGGTAGTCTATAAAAATTCCATCCCCCTGACCAGAGGCCCCATCCCGCAGTCAACTAATTTCGAATGTGTCCACCTGAGGGTGGGTGACCGGGACAGAATAGGGATTCTGCTAGTGTACCGCCCACCTCGCTGCACTACGGTCTCCCTACCTGAGCTAGCAGGGGTGGTCTCGAGCCTGGCATTGGAGTCCCAACGGCTTCTTGTGCTGGGGGACTTCAATGTACATGCCGAGACTACCCTAGGAGGAGCGGCTCAGGACTTCATGTCTTCCATGGCAACCATGGGGCTGTCCCAACGGGTATCTGGCCCCACCCACAGTGCTGGACACACATTAGATCTGGTTTTCTGCCAGGGATGGGAGCAAGGTGGCGGTGTTGAGGAGTTGTCCATCTCTCCGTTGCCATGGACCGACCACTATCTGGTCAGATTTAGACTCACTGCACCTCCTAACCTCTGCAGAGGTGGGGGACCCATTAAGTTGGTCCGCCCCAGGAGGCTTATGGATCCGAACGGATTCCTGATGGCTCTTGGGGATTTTCCCGCCACCTCGGTTGGTGATCCTGTTGATGCCCTGGTGTCTCTCTGGAATGGGGAGATGACTAGGGCAATAGACACGATTGCTCCGGAACGTCCCCTCTCAAGTAGCCGAGCTAAACCAGCCCCTTGGTTCACTGAGGAGCTGGCAGCGATGAAGTGAAGGAAGAGGAGACTAGAGTGCATGTGGCGTTCGGACCCGAGCGAGTTAAATCGAACACGGTTTGTGGCCCTTCTAAGGGCATATGCCGTGGCAATAAAGGCGGCAAAGAAATCTTTCTTTGCGGCCAATATTGCGTCCGCAAAGAACCGTCCAGCGGAGCTGTTTCGAGTTGTCAGAGGTCTATTAAATCCCACCACTTCGGATGGGAACCCTGACAACTCGACGGCCCGCTGTGAAGCATTTGCTCGGTTCTTTGCGGACAAAGTCGCTTTGATCCGTTCTGACCTGGACACCATGTTAACGGCAGTCTCAGAGGATGTAACACGAGCATCTGCTTATCCGATTTTGTTGGATTCATTTCAATTGGTGAAACCTGAGGATGTGGACAAGATACTTGGAGGAATGAGGGCAACCACATGCATCCTAGACCCCTGCCCATCCTGGCTTCTAAAGAAGGCCAGAGGGGGATTGGCCGAGTCGTTGAAGGTGGTGGTTAATGCCTCCCTTCAGGAAGGCAAAATTCCAGCCAGCTTAAAACAAGCTGTGATAAAACTGCTGTTGAAAAAACCATCACTGGATCCCACTCAATTCGTCAACTATCGGCCTGTTTCCAATCTCCCCTTTTTGGGCAAAGTCCTGGAACGTGTGGTGGCCTCACAACTCCAGGTATTCTTGGTAGACACTGATTATCTAGATCCGGCACAGTCTGGTTTCAGGCCGGGACATGGTACCGAGACAGCCTTGGTCGCCTTAGTGGATGATCTGCGCAGGGAGCTAGACAGGGGGAGTGTGTCCCTGTTAGTTCTGCTGGACCTCTCAGCGGCCTTCGATACCGTCGACCACGGTATCCTTCTGAGACGCCTCGCGGGAATGGGCCTTGGTGGCACTGTTCTGCAATGGCTCAGGTCCTTCCTAGAGGATCGTACTCAGAAGGTGTTGCTGGGGGACAACTGCTCTTCCTCACAACCATTGTCTTGTGGGATTCCGCAGGGTTCAATATTGTCCCCCATGTAATTTAACATCTACATGAAGCCGTTGGGAGAGATCATCCGGAGTTTCGGGGTGCGGTGTTATCTGTACGCAGA